AGGTTCTATACAACTACTAGGCTATATCTAATATATAGTTCTGTCTTAGGCGTCTAGACATTAGCAACGCAGCTCTTTTCTTAGTCTAAGTAGTAGCTATTTATATCTATACTCTACGTAAAAGCACTAAGACTAATATTATTATATAAGACTAGACTACCTTAAGAGATTCTATTAAGGTAACTATTTAGTTTACTAAGAAGAACCTACTTTCTAAGACACTATCTCTTTTAAAGTATTCTATTAAAGCATTAAAAAAGAACTATAAGAAGTGTAGTATAACACTAGGTATACTTAGCCTTACTACTAGAAATATTATAGTTTCTTTCGCTTATAAGTATAAGAAAGATAGTACTTATAATAGTTAATATAAGTTTTAGCAACACATCTTTCTATACATAGCTAATAGGTATTCTAATAAGAACTACTAGATTATGTATACTCTTTATAGTAGTAACAACGTAATAATTACTAATACTATAGCTAGATACTAGATAAAGCTTTACTCTATCTATTAATTAGCTATCTCTATTATAATAGAACTTAGATCGTCTTTATATAAGTTAAGAGCGATTAATAAAGATAGTAATTATATTAAAGTAGAGCTAAAGAAGATTAGAGTAAGGCAACTTAGTAGAGCTAGATTAGCTACTTCTTTAGCAAACCTAAAGAAGTAAGTACACTAAGAGCGCTAGGCTAGTCTTAAGGTAGTTAAGAAGAGAGTAGTAGTAGCTAAGTTATAGAAATTAAGGCTTTATAGTACACAAACTAGCCTTCTACTACTACTACTACTACCTAGCGCTAGCGCTCTAAAATCTACTCTAGCTTACTAATCTTTATCTAAGAAGATAGATACTACGCTTAATAAAGACAATTTAGAAGACAAAAACTAGAATTCTAATAAGCTTAAGGCTTTAACTATAGCTAAGAACTATAAATATCTAGATAGAACTTCTAATTTTCTTTAACTAATTCTTAATAGCTACTCTAAGTACACTAAACTTAATAACCGCAAACGTGTTAAAGTTATCTAAGCGTAGTATTAAGAAGTCTATATTAGTTGCTACTTTAATAGTTTATTAATTAATAGTACTTGTGTCTATTAGACTTATACATAAGCAATAGCTACCTATATAGATTTCTTTAAGTAAGCTATAAATGCAAAGGCTATAAATAATATTCTTCTTCTTCTATATCTTTTCTAAGACAAGTAGTATAAACTCTAAACCTATCTAGTTATATCTATTCTCTTTGTTAAGCAACATAAGCTTAGTAAACAAGACTCTAACTTTCTTAGCTATCGCTTTTGTTCTTAGATAGCCTATAATCTATACCTAATTTTTTTCTAGAAGGTAGTTAGTAAAAAGATAAGTTAGAGTAAGCTAGTAGAAGACTTTAAGTAGAAGAGTAATATTACTATAAAGAACTTTAAGTAGCTATTCTTTAATAACAAGAAACTTAAGAAGATTATTAAAGAATTCTTTAAGATATATTATTACTACCTCTAATACATTAATAGTAATAAGAACCTTAGCTAGCTTTGTATTATGTACTATTCTCTTATTTAATAAGCTATCTATACTAATCTTTATTACTAGATACTCTACTTAGTACTTTACAAAGAATATACTATAGTTTTCTACTCTTACTACGCTAAGTACACTATACTAGGCAACAAGACGTTCTTCTGCTATATTAATCTTAATCTATTATTTACCTACGCTTAAGGTTAAGGTATAGATATAATCTAAGAATTAGTCTTAATTAATAATAAGAACTCTTAGAACTATATAGAGGTCTTAGAGAGCTTCTACTAATATATAGAGCTATACTTATAATAGCGTAAAACTACTAAGAAGAATTCTACTAGCCTTATTAAAGAATAGTATAATAATATTAATTAGATGTAAAAAGTATAAGCAACAGCGCTAGGCGTAAAGTAGAAGAAGTCTATTTATAGAGAGAAAGATATTTATATTACCTACTCTATAACGCTCTATAGCTCTATAGAACTAGTAACTAAGATCTATTAAATAATTCTTCTATAGTATATTATAGTACGCTAGAGCGTTATAGAGATTCTAGCTATAGAAACGTATAATAAGATCTTAAAGGCTTATTGTAATCTTATAGCGCCTTCTGCAACACTATCTAGATATTATAATAAGTATAGTAGTATTAAGTAGATATTTCTAGTAGATATACATATTAACTTCTTCTTCTAGATCTAGAAGGCTATTCTTGCGCAAGTCTTCTAGAATAACTCTCTTATACGCAAGAAGATCTATAAACTTCTTAGTAAGAATAAGAATAGTATTCTAGAGTATATCTAGAAAGAGCGTAAGTACGTTATTAGAGAGATTAAGATACTATAGCTAGTAGTTAAGAAGCTTAAAAAGGCTGCCTTTGCTAAGAGCGCTAATAGCAAATACCTAGATATTTCTTTCTTTACTAATAAGAGCACACCTTCTTCTTGCAAGAGATAGTAGTATATTTAGAATTATAATTATAGTATAAGAGATACTATTAGTTATCTTATTAATAAGATTAATATAGAACTAGATATTTATTACTACTTCTACAACGCTGCTAACCTTAACACTATATCTACTCTTTTCTCTCTGTTTAAAACCTCTTAGGCTTGCGCTAGTAGTCTAGTATCTAGTCTATTATTACTTTCTAGCTTCTTGCGCTCTCTAATAATATCGCTACTACTAGTTCTACTACTTTCTTCTTAGTTTAAGATACTAACACTAGCTCTATTAGCTTCTGCTGCTAGCCTGTCTAAACTGCGCTATAGTAGATAAAATATAAAGTAGACTAGACGTACTAGTAATATTGCTAGTACTTAGATTTTAGGTAAGCTTCTTGTTTTACCTAAAATCTACCTACTACCTACACTATAATAGTGTATTACTAACATCTCTACTTAATTATTTACTTTACTTTATACTTTCTTTTCTATATTTTTTCTTTACCTTTTCTTTGTACTATAAGCGATTAACACATTCTAGATAGTATAATAGAACTATACTACTAGAAAGAGAAAGTTTATACTAGTGCACAAAGTATTCTTATATAAATTAGATCTTTAATAACCTAAGAATTACCTAGAAAGAGAGCGTCTTTTAATAAGAGCTCTTTAGAATTATCTTATTATCTACTATCTTATCTTTTACTTATACTTTTTAGTATTAGACTCTTATATAATACTTTAGACAATAGAATCTCTTTATAATAGAACTCTTTTCTACTAAACTAACGCCTTTATACTTTCTTATCTGTGCTAACTACCTTGCGTTCTTGTAGTAATACATCTTTATACTCTCTAATACCTATACACTAACTAAACTAGAGCTTTAATAGTTCTATACTAGATTTATATACATTAATATTAGTACTATAGAATACTACTCTAATCTTCTTTTATCTAGAAGGTCTATCTTAAATTAACTAATTTACTATATAACACTAATATATCTTAAGTATACTAGCTTATTTATACTAAAAATATATTTAAATAAACTAGTTTTATATTTACTATAGTACACTAAGCTTTCTATCTATAGTTAGTATAATAATATCTTTTAGCTTTAATAATAGAGATAAAGCAAAGCGTATACTTAATATTAATACTAAGTTACTATTCTTATAAAGTTTACTACTTATAATTTTTTACTATAATCTTTACTTATATATATATAATAAGCTTTATAAAGACTAAAAAAATAACTATAACTTTATTATAAGCTTAGTACTTCTAATAATATATTTAGTACTAAGTATACTATAATATTACTTTATATATAGTAAAAGAGTAAATATAGACTTACGCATTTTTAAGTAGAGATTATCTAAACTTAGAATTATATAGTATAATATAGTAGTACTAGCGTATTATTATATAATATTATAAAAGTAATATAATATAGAAGATTAGATAGTATTATAATAAAAACGCGCTAGTCTATAGTAGTAGATATAGTCTAGAGCTAGAGTAGCGTAGATAAAGTCTTTTATAACTTTTAGAATATAGAGAAAGTAGCGTAATAAAAGTATTACTATTTTTATTATAGTTATAAAAGTAAAAGAAAGCTAGTAGGTATATATATTTATAGATAAGCTAAATCTCTAAGTAGAATAAGTCTAGAAGTAGCTACTTAAAATACGTATGTAATATAATAAATTAAATTAGACTTTAAAATCTATTAGCTCTTATTATAATAATAAAATAGTATTATAACTTTAATTACTATTAGTATACTTAATAAATAATAGCTATATATTATAGAATAATATATATTTAACGCCTATTTATCTATAAAACCTACCTAAAGTACTTTTATAATTATAGTTAATATTATAAAAATTATTAAATATTAGATATAATTTACGTATTAATATATACCTAATAGCTATCTAATATTAATATTTGTCTAATATACTATTACGCTCTAATATCTAATAGCTCTTTAATATATATACTAAATAATATATATTCTTAATATTATAGTAATAGATAAGCTTTATAATTACTAAAATGTGTTATACTTTATAATTTAATATTAAGCCTTATTGTTATTCTGTTAGCCTTACAGATCGCTATCGCGTAATCTAGGTTTAGCGGTATAGTAATAGAACATACAGCTAACGCGCATCGCACAGGCATAGGTAGGACAATAGAATTACGTTAACCTAGAAAAAAGCTAAACAAGTTAGGAGCCTACATCAACGTTAGGCTAACTACTTTGCAGGGTCTCATCTTAATGTAGGCTACAGACCTGTTCAATTTTTTCCCTTGTGTAAGGTGGAATGAAGAGTTGGCAGACGATCGATCGCGATGACCTCCATCATGACGGTAAGAGCCGATGTGTAGAAAGAAATGTATAAGTAGATACCCGCCGTACAGCAAGCTGAACGACATCCGTATGAAGAAGCAATCTCAACACTCTCCCGTAACACCGCCATCCAATCTCAAGACCTTACTTCCTATACACAACATGAAGACTCCACAGTTCACTCTCATTCCCCTCTTAGGCCTCTACACAACCTCCACCCTCGCCGACTTCGTCATAGGCAGATACGCCGGCTCCGAGCTCGGCGGCACCTTCTCAACTCCAGGCCAACTGCACATCATCGGGACGTGGAACAGCGCAGGTACATGTCATTCCAACTTCGTCCACTCCCGCAAGTCTAACACTCAACCTCCAGGTATCGAAGGCCAAAAAAACGGCTTCGGAACCGACGACTTCTGTTCCGCCGGCACCTCCGCCGGCACCGGCAAACTGAACGACTGGAAGAACAACGAATTCTGCGACTTGGAAATCCCCGGTTGCCCCTTTAGCATGCGCATTGTCAGATATGCGAGCAGATTTTCTGGCGACTGCGGTGCGGCTACCAATGACGCGGATCGTGACTATTCGGTGGACTATGGGGTGCTGATTGATACGGTCTCGTCCCGAATGCGGCGGTTGGTAATTGTTATTACGGAAGCGCGCAGCTGAGGAAGGATTGTACTAGTACGGGGAGTGTGACATATCAGGCCGCGGTGGTTTGTCTGACGAGGGCTTGTGGGGGCCGTTGGAGAGCGACTTTGAGCCTGGGGCTTGAGAGGGTTGGCGAGGCCATGTTGGCGAGGAGAGGATAGGTGAGCTGGGCGGTAGCTCGGTATGGTCGCTCGTTGCGATGGATCATGGACCCTGTTCACCTTTGTTTGTAGTCAGCTTGCTCTGGCAATCGATGGAGTGACAGGAGAAACGACGATGTGGACGACTGCCTGACGACGATGTTGACCTTAATAGGTAATGTAGGGTAGAAGTAATAACTACCCGGCGACGACACAGACCTTGATATGTGTTATTGGGTAGATACGGCGATTATGTGGCTGCCACGCCCACCTGAAAGTCTCGGATCGCAAAAGTGCGTTTGCGTACGAGATGGTTGTGTATTGCGGGAGTCGTGAGCGACTCGTGCCGCTGGAAGTAGAGCTTTAACTGTCTTCCGAGGTTCTCTTAGAGGCCATGAACTTCACGTCGTCCGGATTAAACAAATATAGTCGACATACTGTAGCGCTCTCAACCGTGTGGAGAGGATACGCCACTGCCTACCAATTGCTAGAGTCACAATATGTGACCCAAGTCTCAGGTGTTGCACGGCTTCGGTCGCGTATCATCGAAGAGCCCAGATTCTTGCTCCATTGTTGAGGAGAGAAGGGCGGTGTGGTTTGTCTCGAAAGACATCTGGAAGGAGAAATGCTATAAACTAAGGAGACCATAGATATAGTAGCAATGCCTAAACTCCCGAGATAGTCACCGGAGGCAACTAAATCAGATGAGTAGTGGTCGCTTGTTAACCGTGCTCTCTGATAAGCAATGGCTAACGGGGCCTCGACGTCTCACTTAAGAGCTGACGAGGTGCAGGTATACTTGACCTGCGCAAGGATGGAGAAGAAATGCTATAAACTAAGGAGACCATAGATATAGTAGCAATGCCTAAACTCCCGAGATAGTCACCGGAGGCAACTAAATCGGATGAGTAGTGGTCGCTTGTTAACCGTGCTCACTGAAGAGCAATGGCTAACGGGTGTATATCTCGACGTAGAGATAGGGTGCAGGTATACTTGACCTGTGCAAGGACCGCAAATTCCTGGCTACCGAGGGTCGGCTTGCACACTAGGTGTGCGTTGAACTGGGACATTTGCGGTGCAGAGCAAAAGAGCGACGGGCAAAAAGTTGTACATATCGGATAGGCGTTAGCCAGCGCTAGCCAGCGCACGGACGAATAGCGTAGCGATGAGGTGAGAAATCCCGACCCGTCTTTGGTGTTCTGCTGCTATCAATGAAAATCTTCTGGAGGCGTCAGATGTCAGGCGTCTTTGTCGCTCGAGGCAGAGAGTTGTATGTGAACTGAAGTAGCTTGGAAGGTGCGCAGCAGCGTCACGATAAAGCTACAATTAGAGTGTGGCGCCAACGCCTCCACAGCCACGGCCCCAGCCGCAAGCACGCACCACGATCGGCTTACGTACCCCTCCGTGATCTCGTTCACGGAGTGCGGCTTGCCTGCCGTACAGCGTTGTCATCATTGCTCGCAGGAGGATGCACTGTGATTGACGTTCAGAGCCGTCGCATGCATTCCTACGACAAAAGCAATGTTTCCTGAGATGAACGAGCGCGTGGAGACCTGCGACGTCAGGCCCTTCGTGCTGTTGATGGTGGTGTCAGATGGCGAAGGGTGTCTGGACTGGGTCAACTTCGGAGCTGGGTATGTTTCACCAAAAGAAAAAAAAACGCTTGACCGCTGAGCGTTGTACGAAAATGCCGCGTGGAGGATTGATTCATGCATGTCACTCTCATTTCGGTGTCTGGTGTGATGTCTGCGTCCTGGTGCGCTGTGGCGGGCGGCTGTCTTCCTTGGGTTGTCGATGTTTACTGAACAATCCAGCATGTTTGTTACAGATATGCAGCCAGATATCTGAAAATTCGATGTCGACGACATAATGTGGATACTTTGAGTCAGTGGGTTGTCTGCAGCCTTGCTGTTCCTGTCGATACACAAGCTTCCCGCCCCTTGCTTCACCAGGTAGTGGGGAATGCCAAGCGGATCTCGAACCACGCTACCAAAAGTTCCGCGAAGCCTGACGTGGTCTGTGAAGAACGGGGTCGTGTTTGGTGAGGCGGCTCGATGGCACCGATCTCTTTGTGCTGGTGCACGTTTGCAACTTCAATATACTAAGAACTGTGATGGCGACGATCACAACCAGAAGCGCTGTGACTCCATTGTGGTGTTGGGTTGTTTCTTCCACCACTCAAGTGCAATGTTTTCGCGCTGGGACATGCCCGCGCGCAACTTCACCAGATGTACCATCGTGGTCTCCTGCCATCAATCTGTGTGAGCGTTGCGAGGACACAACGTATGTCGCAGCCGTTACTACTTGCTTTGGGTGTAGAACACGGGATTTCTGGACATGACAGCTGTATCCGCAACCTTCTTCCAACCAAAAACACTTGACATGCTGCAGATTAGGCTTAGCTTCCACGCCTACGTTGTTCTCCATGCTGTGCGCACAAACACCTCCCATTGGAGGAACTTCCAGGTCACCTCTTTGAAACGCATCGCTCTTGGCGTAAAAGGCGAAACGGGTAGAGACCGCGCGGATCACGATTCGCGAATCCAAGGACTGTTTCAAACAGATGAGCATAATCGCCAAGCACAAAGCCCATGAGGGTAGGCGGAGCCGTGTGGGTTCAATCTATATGCGATTTCGCCAAACCTGCAAGTTTCCGCAGTTGTCCCGACGGCAGGCATTCAGAAGATGTCGGAACAGATCCGTGGATGGTATAAGATGCAGCGGGAGACGCACCTAGAAATCCGTCCTCACCATCGAGCCAACAACAGTCTTTTACAGTCTTTCAGCTTTCTCATCTTCTTTCAATCCTTTGCTCGACGCATTACATTCGCTAGCCGAACCCAACGTCCTTCTCTTCATTCCAACAACCTTTCAGCTCTCCAGCTTTTCCAATCCCAACCGACCCAACTATCAACATGAAGGCCTCCGTCGCTGCTGCCATCGTGGCTTTCGCCGTCGCTGTCTCCGCCGGTCCCAGCAAGCCTTCTCCCATGAACTTCTTCAACCTGAACAAGCGGGCGAGCTTGCCTATTCCGGCTTCCAAGGGCTCCCAGACGCTCAAGGAGGCTATGGAGATCACTGGCACCTTTGACGGTGGTCTCAAGACCTATGGTCGTGGCGTTTCTTGCACTGGTCAAGCCGAAGGTGGAGATTCTGACGCGGTCTTCATTCTAAAGGTATGTCACGGCTGTAGGAAGTGCATGTGAGACATATACTGACTTTGTACGTCTACCTCTGCAGGATGGCGCTACTTTGAAGAACGCGATTATCGGAGAGGACCAGATCGAGGGTGTCCACTGCGAGGGCAGCTGCACCATCGAGAACGTTTGGTGGGCTGCTGTCTGCGAGGACGCGCTTTCTCTCAAGAAAGATGGTGACGCAACTGGTAAGAGGTGTTTGCACATACTTCCGGACTGAGCTAACGTCTTCTAGTGATCGGTGGAGGAGCTACCGGTGCCGAAGACAAGGTCATCCAGCAGAACGGCGCTGGAACTGTCACTATCGACGGCTTCACCGTTGACACCTTCGGCAAGCTATACCGCTCCTGCGGTAACTGCAAGCAGTCCGCCGAGCGCCACGTCATCATGAAGAACGTCAAGGCCTCCAACGGCAAGCTCCTTGCCGGCATCAACCCTAACTTCGGAGACTCCGCCACCATCGACGCTACCAACTGCGCCAGCTCCGTCAAGGTCATTTGCGAGGAGTTCAAGGGTGTTGCTTCTGGCAGCGAGCCCGAGAGCGTTTCCAAGGGTCCCTCCGAGTCCTGCATCTACAAGGAGCCTCTCTCTTCTTGCTAGGTTGCCTCGAGCAAGACTGCAAACAACATGTGGAGGATGAATCGGCGGACATCGGTGGATTTCATTGGATGGCGGGGATGCAGTGCATCTGTTGTGCTCGCTCTGGAAGCATTGTACATACATTGACTTCTTTCTTGTATATATTGGCGACATAGAGTTGCGCGAACCGAGAAGGTTGCTCTACGAACATCTTGATGATAAGTGATGCCTGGTTGCATGGGTGTAGTTGAGTCCGGAAGTCGCGAATCGCGCGCACTACTGTAGTAGTGGGCGAAATTCGTGTCGCACTCTACAAAGATGTAATAAGCAGCATCGTTGAGGTACACGCATACATAACAATGATACTTGTATAGATGTTATGATTTAATGGCGTATATGCAGCAAATGACAGGGACTCCTAACCTCCTCCAGGGCTGGTGCTGATGAAGTGGGCGCGCTAGTCTTAATGGGGCGATGACAGTACCGAGGCGACACGCGACACGCGACGCGCGCCACCTCGAAAAACCGCTCGGAAGCATCACGCGATTATGCCGAAGAGATTACATCATAGTGGTGCATTGTGTCTACTACTTGCTGACACACCGACAGTGCTTCTAACCGTGGTGTAGAGCTGTGCCGATGTCACTACCGCCTCTTCGTGTAACATCCTTTCTCTCTTCTCTCATCCAATCTTCGTCTCTAGATTGTCACCAACCGTCAAAATAGCCAACTACTCTTCCACCACAAAGTCGCTCTCCTCCAGCCGAACTCCGCTTAGCATCCTGCCCAGATGGGTCTTCTCGACGCCTTCTCCTTCCCGCCGGATCTTCATGAGTAGCGCTCGCAGGAAGGGCACAGGAGACTTCTCCAGCCCCCAGATCCCAGCTGGCGGATCAATGAAGCCATCTGCATAGACTTCCTGACCGTCTTTCGCTGTTCCCTTTAGAAGACCAAGATAGTCACAGATCTCGGCGTACTCCGACAGCGATCGTAGATAGAGGCTCCCGGCGAAGAGATTCAGCTGCATCGTCAAGCTACGCGAGACTGAACCAGGCACGAAGTTGCGGCCGACATTATATAGCATGAGATCATCGACCGATGCGTAGCTGGCATTGGAACGCGGTGCGAAGATATGCAGGCAGACTGTCTTCGACTGGCGGAGGAGAGGTACCAGCTGGTTGGCCTCGTAGGGACTCACAATGATGAGCTTGCTAACACTTCCCTGGCGATGGACGGAAAGTACGAATTGTACAGGTCGTTGGTACGAGTCGGATACGAAGGACGCGCGAGTCGATCTCGGAGGAACTTGAACAGTGTGTATGAAGTCCGCTGTGACCAGCAAGTCGTCAGGGAATTTGCTCAGATCAACATCCTTGGCAGCGCTCGTGGTGGAGAGGGCTTCGAAGGCCGGTCCCCATGCTTCTGAACTGGCGCAGAACTCTCCTGTATCGATGAGGCGCTTCAGGTCCGGGTGAAAGTTATGCGGATGAGCCTTCAGGCGTGGTGGGCGCTCGATTTGGCGCTCCTCTTCTATCTCCGGGGCGAGTTCGCGTTCCTGCTCCTCCGATAGCGCAGCTGAGCCAAAGCCCATGGCTTCGAAATCACGGCATCGCGATACGATCTTGACGATGTTCTTATTAGATTCGTCCCAATCCTGGAGGTGTTTGGAGCTATCGTCATCTGGCTCGCGTGGCTTGTATCGAGTCTCCAGGCTTGCTGCTTCCTCTTCTAGGAACTCTTCCGCTGTTCCTTTGGTCGTGTTGGCACCGTCCAGCAATAAGTGCTTGCGGCTCTCGAATCGGTTCCCCTGCACAGCCCACAGTGGGAGCGAACGTTTGATATCAGACCAGGTCTCGCCCATCGCCCACGCCAGTACCTCATAAACGTCGATTGGGGTACCGGGCGGTTTGCCGTTTCGTTCGTAGATCTTGGTACGTATCTCCCCGGGTACGACAAAGCACACCGATTGGCCATTACCGAGCTTTCGTAGTCGCATAGCTGCTTGTGTGAGGCGATCCTTGGTCAGTTGACTGCCTAACGTCAGGGCAGCCCGATAGTGTCGCGGTAATCCTGGTATGTCTGTTCCCCGTGTATGGCTCTCGTCCAAGTAGACGACACACGAATCTAGCATCTTCGCGTATGGAGATGTCTGGAAGGATTCGATCTTGGAAGAGCGATCTAGGACAGACAGTTCCTCGTCCTCAAAGTATACCACGGCTGCGACGTCGTTGCCTCGTAGCTTCAGCCAGGCTTCAGCCACCTCTCGGTTGTTCATATCAAGGATTGATGCGCCACAGTCCAGTATAACTCTTATGTCTGGATGTAACCCCTCGATGAAAGCAAGAAGATGCTGTCCATCTTTACTGCTTGTACTACCAATGGCGCGTGCGGGTAAATGGGCCACAGAAGTCTCATCCATCAACAGATATGACAAGACCCGAGCGTTGGTGTGTTGTTGGCTCGGCAGATCAAGTTGGTGCATGTTGAGTGGAAGAAGATGCCGGGTATCGTTTGTTCCCGAGAAGCCGGTCGTGGGATTCGGTTTCTGGATCGCCAAATCCCATCCACTCGCACTGAGCTTTAAAGGGAACTGCTTCAGTTCCTTGGGGAACACGAGGTGAGAGACGAAATAGTCGACAGCCTTCTTGGAATGCCGTAAACCTGGGAATACTTCCTCAACGCACTGATGCTCATCGCGTGTGGAGAAGCCAGAGAGCTGTCTGAAGGCCTCGGGTAGACTTGAAGAGGCGGTGCTGACGAACTCGTCGAAGTGAATGGTCGCTTGATCGGACTTCAACAGATGAATCAAGGTATCGAACAGGTCCTCGTTTCTAAGACCCTCGTAGTACCAAGATAACAAGCTCAACAAAATCAGAACGTCAGGGTGTGAGTATTCACTCCTAGGTGAAGGAGAGTCCTTGCTGCGATATGGTACGGCTAGTCGAGTGGCTGGAGTGCGTGTGTTGTCGAGACCAAAGTTGACGCGGTATCGCTTCTGCGAGAACACAAAGTTCAGCACGCCCCCTGCAAATAGCCCGCGCAGAAGTAGTAGTGCCGGCTTAGTCGTCTCGGTCCAAAATTTGCTGTGTTCGACTTCCTCGATCTCACGAGGTTCCAGCTCCGTTACGGATATGTAGCGCAGTATCGCGGCCTGCATGGTGGGAGACTGCGAACGAGATGGACTTCCTACGCCTGATTCAACGACCTTTGTCGCGAGCAGACGCAAAACCAGATCGGCAGCGTCTGGTCGTAGGAACCTAATCCTGGGATATCGCCCGTCGCCATCGCCTTCTATATCAATCGCCTCGGGATGGATCTCCTTGACCTGCTTCGCCACAGGGGGGATTAGCGCTAGAAGATCCTGAATGATCAACCATCGCTCTGGAGCGTATTCTATCGAACTCTGGCTGCCCATCGTGTAGATGAGCTCAAACTTGGTCGAGAAATTCTCATCACTCTCGTCGATACAGTCGCATGACACGTCGTCGAACCATTGCTGGGTTGCTAGCAGTTTCCGAGCGGTTTCCGGCTGATCAATAAGAACACATTCCACTGCCATCAGCTTGAAGGACTGTAGGGGTAGAGGTACGAAGTCAGTATGCGTCTCACATGCTTTTCGTAGAGCCATGACTTACCAGGATGTGCTCCGGTTGAATCAGTAATACACCGCGCTCGCGAATGCATTCTTCGTAGATCTCGCGGATGGTGACGGCATCTTGAGCATTAAGTCGGAGGTTGCGTGAGAAGGGCATCTGATAAACTTTTCGGTTCAAGAGACCACCAAGCTTAGCGACCAGCATTTGCAGCATCTGCCGGCTCTGGGGTTTTGCGATGACCACTCGGACAAGCCTAGTTTCTAATATTAGTATGCTGTAGTCCGATCGGTTGGGTTCAGAGACACTTACTTCTTCTTGTCTCCATGAAAAGCACTGAGTATGGGAAGAATAGTTGAGCTCTTGCCACCGCCCATGAGCAGTTGAAGCACGATATTCCAGCCATCTTTTGGCGAACGCATCTGGCTAGCAATAAACTCCTGTTCGGCCCGTACAAGAATTCCGCTCTCAGCCTCGATGAGAAGAGTCTCTGGGTATTGATGCACGTCCCAATTGCTATGTCCAACATGGCGGAGCTCCTCCACGAGATCGACCGGCTTCTTGGATAGGCGGAGTAGCCGCTGAGCGCGTTGTAGATTTGTGATAGCGAGCGCATACTGAATGACAAATTCTTTCCAGGCAGACGATAGTGTGTCGAATCGGTCTCTGTGTAGTTGACCGAGCCAGAACTTTGTACATAATCGTGGCGACAGCTGTGTTTGAAAGGCGACTTGGTGGCTAAAAAGCCCCTTCAATGCGGAGTTGAAGGTCTCAACATGGTTCTGGCACTTGCTGAGGTAGTCGTGTAGCAGAGCTTGAACATCTGCAACTAACTCGTCATGCGTGGGCTTGCTGTTGATGAACGAGTTGAGGGCATCGCAGCTTGATCGTAGATTCTCAACGTACTCTCGCTCACACTTGGACGTGGCGTATACCATGTTCCTTCGGCAAAGCTCTTCAAGCCTCTCTTTCACCGGGGAATGCTCCTCGGGCTTATATTCTCTGGCGACTGTCACTGCAGGCTCAGAAGGAGCTTTCAGTGAAAGGGTTTCAATGGATAGAGACGGATTCGAAGTGAAAACATCCGCCACGCTGAGATGCCGAGCGGAGTCGCTGAGCCTGTTCTGCTTTGGCGGCGAGGTGAGAATATGCCGTGGTGCCAGTATCTGCGATGCTGCCTGTCGTTCCATGATCGTCGATAATTTTCCAAGGTATTCCATGAACATGTGGTTATCGTACCAGGTGTAGAAATGGTTCCGGACAGTGACCATTGCATCAGACACATTAACGTACGTGTCAGTTGCAGCTGCTTGCGGTAATGCAGGAACTTGTATCGGCCACTGCTTCTTCAAGCCGCTCACGAAGGTCTGGATTGCACTATTCTTCCGTTGTCGAAACAAAGAGTTCATTCTGTTGTGATGCTGCTGTTCAGTCTCTGAAGCCGACTTCGGTGACATCGCTTCACGAGAATCTTCGAATGGCTTGGCGTTGTTCTGAAGGATGTTCTCGATTGTTGTTTCGTGAAAGACATGTCCCTTAGCTAACTCGAACTTTGAAGCAGCAGGTGGTTGTACTGTGGAAAAGTCCTGTGAAATGTAGAATGCAGCAAACGACTGTATGACATCCATGTCCGCTGTCTCGGCGTAAGACATTGCAGACAGCCATGTAATCACGTCGTATCTATTGTTGCTCCTGGTAGACACGCCGGCTAGACCTGGTTGTAGAGTGCACCATTGCTCTATAACTCCTTTTGATGCATCGTCCAGCCACTTTGAATCGTATCGGAGACTTGCAGAATCGAAGGAACGATCCACTCCGAGGATGGTAGCATGTTTGAAGTGCTGTTGGAGAAGCCTGCCTTTGAATCCTGTGATAGGGCTGTGAAGGCTGAATTGATCCCGTAGCATTAGCTTGGCTGTCGTAATAGCCTGAACCCCTCTTTTGGAATGTAATTGGGCGTCTCGCCGATCGTAATGCGAGTCTTGTGCAGAGCTGAAGTGCTCTGCACCAAAGCCGGTGACGTAGAACGTGGCAGTGCGAATTGAAGATCGCTCATCCAAATAGGCAGTTGAAGACGACATCAACTTCTTTTGGGCTTTTCTGATCATCTCGAAGTCATCTTGTTTGTCAGGGTAGAAGAATTGCATCCTCTCAACTTGATGTAGTAGGCTCGATACGAGGGACCGCAAAGAAGTATGTTGCGATAACGATGGGAGACTCATATCCCACTTCGTACGCTGCATTACTTTCAGATGCTCTGGATAAAACGATCTCGTAGCCGAGAGATCAGCCAGACAGGTCAGAAGATCTATATCTTCTGGTGCGAGAATGTCGATCGATCCAACAGCTGCCGATCTCAGAATTGAGAGAGCTGACTCAGTGCCGGTACATTCAGTGAGAGGATCGGGTAGGCAGTGAGATGTTAGCGCGTGCAAGTAGCACAAGATTAAGCGACTTCGTAGGCTTCCATCTCCGGTTATCTGACCAAGCGTGTCGTCGATTTGATAAGCGCGAATCCGAATTGCCGAGTCTTCTAGCATCTTGACCTTAGGATGATGTAAGTCTCCCTTCGCGAAACTGACTGATCCTTCCGGAATGATCATCATTCGCCGACCTTCCGCTGACCTCAATATCAACCGACTTTGCATGCCAACGAGGGCTCCCATCGTTTGATCAGAGTCGATAATCATGTCGCGAAATTGGCGAGAGCGCAAGTGGTCATTCGCTTCGGTGAACTCGAACGAGAGTTGTAGTCGCGGTAGCTCTATCTCAACACGGAGATCAGAAGTATTGTCTGGATCAACGAGACGCATGTGCATGTGTAGCGGTTTCTCTAGTGGTGCCAACATGTTTGAGATGGTACGGGCTGTACGGCTACGCACGTCAATCATAACCTTGTCCGTGTCGACTAGCCGCCACAAAGTTCCGTGTCGTACAAGACGCCATCGTGTATCGTCGCCTTCAGTCGACCAGGGCGAATAAATAGGTCGAAACAAGATCTCTTGAGCCTGTGAATCGTACATGTGTACGGCATGCGTCACCAAGGACTGAGGTAAAAGGTCCTGGAATAGACGTGAAGGCAGCAATTCGAGCCTCTTGCCATATCCAATGGCACACATCAGCAGATCGCTGCCGCTCATACCAAAATGAAGATTGTAGCCTCGATACAGAGTCTTTGCAGAGAACCTGAACCCGATTTCATCGGTCGGCACAACTTCCAGAGCTGATTTGTGGAATAAAGGCTCGTACATTCTATGTCGCTCATACTCGGCATGAAGCTGAGCCAACGGAAGGCCATTGACAAGTAGCTCTCCAGTGAGCAGGTTGAAGTGCACCGGCAAGGAGCCTGATGTCGCAAGCATCCATTGCTTTTGGCGGTTTTCGTCCAGCGAACTCCAAGAACTACTGGAATTCGATTCTTTGAATGCGGCCCAATTCGCTTTGATGGCATCCGAAAGGCCACTGTCATCCTTGATGATGCGGTTCCGTAGTATCGGAAGGATGCGATACATCAGTGACTTCCACGACTGTAGTGAGATACTAAAGAGCTCTGTGAAATCCGACTGCATGGTTCCACAGTGCTCCTGCACAACAATAGACGATTGAAGCAACGTTGAGATTGCCGACCTTTGCTGAAGCACAGTCTTAAAGTCAGACTCTTCCACATCATAGGTCGAGGTGCACAGCAGCGCTACCTCTGTAGCGCGGCTCCAAAGTTCTGTGCGCTGGCCGTCGTCCGTTGAGTCAGCCACTCGCTCCTTCAAGCGTCGTAACCATTTCAAGCAAACCGCTCGCAAAGTCTCAAGATAATCAAGCGCGCGAGAACGAACGTCCTGGGCTCGTTTCAAGCTCAGTACTCGTCGAGTGAGTAGGGAGAATATTGCTGCAGCCCTCCATGATTCCCAGTTTTCTTCGATGCGGCCCAAGTTGCTCTCAAGCTGCGCGAGCATAGCATGGCCAAACGGAGTTTCTGTGAGGATAGAGTGGCTTGACCGCTCGATGCACTGACTTGGCGGACCCGCCTGATGTACAGCCTGGAGAATTACACATTGCGTCTCAACTCTTGTCCAGCCGACCGATGGGTTCGCCAGCTGAGCGAAGATGTTCGAACGAACAGTGTTATTCCTGAGGGGTAGCGCACTCGGAGCCTTGTACTTGTCGATCGAGAAGTGAGCCGGACAGTCTGACAAACGGGCCTATCCGAGGTGTCAGTGAGATCTATCATAGCGTGTGGAGGAGCTGACAAGGTCGTGGTTTGTGCCCTGCCATAACGTATCCTGGAGGCGTTCGCTGTGATATGCGCTGATGAACCAGCAACAAAACCCATGCGAATGCGTCCAAAGTACGCCACAGCTAAGAATTGATGTCCTAGACGAAAGGGAAATCAGGCTTGGGACTTACGGATGTCTTTGTCCGCTGGCAAGCCATCAGGCGAACTGAGCGGTCCATGCATGAAGCATTGCAGTGCTCTTGATCGCTTCGGCAGGCCGTGGACTTAGTTCTTGATACCTTGTTTGTAGAGCCTGTCTGTTTCATGAAAGAACCTTGCGCTGCGCCGTGTTACTCGTGTTGTTGGGCGTTGTCTAGATAGACGTCGTCTTCGATCAGATGAGGAGTGGCGTCCATCACCTTCCAGTGGGCAACATTGAGGCTATTGACTTGCGAGAGCGGAATGATGCGTTGAACAGGATACCGAGATGAGAGTAGATGCGATGTACCATGATGGCTGTCGAGCGTATATGAGCAGGATGGCTGTGGCAGATTTGCGTCCTTGTAGCCGACAAGAGCGGTGATGAAATACGCTAATGTGCCGTGCCATTCGCTGTGTGCTTCAGGGATCATCAACTCGGAGATAGTTGCGTTTGCTTCGAGCAATCTGGATAAGGGCGGCTACGCGTAAGGCTGGATCATGAGTGGTCTCCGCTGTCCTGGGCCGCACATCCGTCGCACCTCATTGGATGCCTCTGTTTTGTGTTCCCTTGATGAGAGTCCTATGATATCGTCAAGTGCCAACACTCGACAGCGTCGTAATGATAAATTTAGTCGATGTACTGACGCCTGAAGTTCATCGGCTCTTCAAACTTTCCGTTACCGTTGGCAGTTGCATCAACCCGAATTTCGATAGTGCAGCCTGGGGTGGCTGACATTGATCATAGTACCTGACAGCGAAGAATGAGGCATGTCTAGACTCCCAAAAAATAGAGGACTGCCTCTCCCTCCGTTAGGCGGCCGTGATCGAGCATGGTATCCGGCTGCGTGTAGGCGTTGTAGTCGGCTGTCCAGAGGAAGAGCGAAACATTGGAGTTGTGCTGGATGAACCCCACGATCGTATTCGACCAGCGAGGGATAGATTTTGCACAAGAATTCATCGTGTGCAGCCCATAACTCACTGACGGCGAGGTACGTAATCGACGACTCACGAGGAATGCGAGCACGAGTACCACTATCGGTCTCGATGTGGCTGATCATAAGATCATCGAGTGTGCTACATGCATCCCCATCGTGAAGCTGACAACTTGTCTAGCGGGTAAGATGGTGCTCGATCCAACTCTCATAAGTAGCCAGACGAAAGCATTCAACTTCGTGAGCACTTAACAGCTGCCGAATAGTTGGTAGCTCAGTGGTTTGAGAGAACGCATACTCATGCGTGGACGAGAACGTAGAAGGCGCAACCTCCAGCTTCCGGGACTTGATATCGTATACGAAGACATCTAAGCCTGACAAGGACATGTCGAGATCGGTTCCAGGCTTGGAACTGGCGATGACCCTGAATTCGGCACTCGCTCGAGACTTGTCCACTTGATCCTTGCAATGCTGCTTGATGAATACGTGAGCGTTCACCATCTCGCCGTGGAGATATCGCGCCCAGCCTGGCTTCAGGTATTCCGTGTGCTTGAGAACCTCAGACTTTATGGATCGTCTCGCTATTCATTCGATCCCAGTGTTGTTTGACTAGATCGAGTAGTCGTGCTGGCAGGAGGAACATAAGCGCTCTTTACAAAACGTCCGAATCGAGAGTGTCGGGTGCTTCGCGAGCGAAGTGCAGCTGCAGGGACAAGCGTAGCAAGAGCCGTAGTGGCGGATGGTCGACACGTTGCGAGGCGGTCGTTCCGTAGAACCTCTCCGCGAGTGTGTTTTGTTTTGCGTCGTACATCTGTCGGAGTGATGACTTCCATGAGAAAGTCGGTGAACATATCAGTGTGCGCAATATCGCGGTGTCCGTCCATATCTTTTTCTCATTTCGGTAATCTGGGGCTGAAAGCCTGGAGCCCTTTGAGTCGTAATGACAGCGATAGTTCTTGAGGTCGATCCAACAATGTCGAGGTCGACATCGACAGCTGATCTCTTCAATGTGCTGTGTGTCAACTTTCTTGAAAGCTGCCATGAGCATACAGTTGCCTTGTTCATTAGCGATAGCTCATGAAGGTCGAAGTCCAATTTGCTCGAACAAGTCTTGACAGCAACGCCGCTATTCTTTCATATCTCAGATTGCTTCGATGGTGAGGCGAGGTAAGTATAGTTTGTCCCCCCGAAGACTGCGCGCTTACTAGGACAATAGTGCTATATCAAGCGCGCAGTTCTTGGGGGGCGTTGGGTGGAATAAAGAAGTGTAAGAGAAAAGAAGAACAAATTGCAGTATATATAAGCATGTGAGAGCAAGTACTAGGTTAAAAGTATAAAGACTGTCACGTTGTCATGTAATATCATCCCGAGATTGCCGAGACTTACCTTTACCTTTACTGCGCGACCGCTAACTACCTACAGCTCTACAGATATTCTATTACTAAAATACGAATTATATATAAACTGTTATGACGGCGACTTCGACTGAGCCGACATGCTCGCTGTTGACAAAGGGTTTCAGAGACTCAAGGGCGTGAATGGCGATATCGACAAGAGTCAAGTCGTGCGCGGCGTTGCGGTCGTCCTGCTGCGGGAGCTTCGGAGGAAGTACCAAATGGTGATAGGCGTAGGCCGTAGCCGCTGCCGACGCCATGGTGTAGACACCACAGGGAGTACACTATATGATAGATGAGTCAGCTTGTGTAACCTTGCCTGAAAAGGAGCATGTTTAGGGGTATAGGTATCTGCTGTGCGAGTAGCACTTGCGCTGCAGGCGCGACGGACCCCACGTACCTAATGGGCTCAGCTATCCGGTCTGTCTATTCAGAATGCAGAATAATATTCAGGGTGTTAACCCAGTAGCGAAGATGGAATAGCAACAGTCGCAACCAAAACGATGAGGAGAAAGTGTGGTGTCGTGGTAGCGAGGGCGCGGTAGTAAAAGGTGGGGGGAAAAGACGCAAGACGGTGGACGAAATCTCTGTACGACGCAAGAGAAATGCTCGCTTGAAAGAGGTGAAATTCGACTGTGCGCGTCGTTGTTGTCTTAAACAGGCAAACAGACTTCACCTTCACTTGAGCACTCCAGCAGCGCGTGCCCACCGCCTCATCACTTCGCCGCAACATGGGCGTCGCTGTCTGCAAAACAACAAGGCTGAGTATACTGAAATGCCCACGCCATATCTGATATGCTCTTCTGCTTCATGCATTCCAAGACCACGCGTCATTCCGGTCAGTGAATGGCTCAATGGTGTGGCTGTGTGGCGCGTGCGTGTAGTACAAAGCCAGGGTGCGCAAGGCAACAGTCTCAGGCTCATTCGACTCCAAATACAATTCCCAAGAGGCACCCTCAGTTTTTGTGTATTGCATAATCCAGCATCCTTCTCTTGTGGGTGGCCATCATCTGAAAGACGCGTGCCCGCGCAAGGCTATGACGTCACGCGTTGCGGCGAAGCTGGACCGCGCAAGACGCGTCTGCTATGCCTCGTTGACATTGTCACAGAATTGATGCGTGCAGTGATGATGGAGCGTCAGTATTCGAGACCAACAGGATGGATGTTCGCATGCGAAGAGCGAGGCCTTGATGTGTCGTCAAGAGCAACCTCGGGATCGAGCCTACAAACGTCGTCAGCCTTGGCATACGCGCTAACCGATCATCGGAGGATGAGGGGCGTTTTTGAGCTAGCCAGCCCGCGCCGTACAGCGCGTATTCTCCATCCTTGCGTCCCTTGCCTCTTCAACCCCCCATCGCGGTTGGCCCATGAGTTCTCGTACGTCCTTTTTTACTGCATTGCGGCTTGCTCATGAGATCCCGGCTCTGGAATCTGTATGCCCCGATGTCTGGACTATTTGCGAAGACCCGCCTCGTACCTAGGTACATACGGGTGGCACGACTGCTTCGCTTGCGATCTACTGCATAGTTTACATGCTGGACATGCAGATGGCCCTTCCTTCTTCCTCAATGGGCAACACCCCCGGTATCCGGGAGATCTAGGTGCGCTGGATCAACCCGCATTTAGATGTATTTGAGCCGCGCAGGCGGATGGCTATATCCGACCGAAATTATTCATAACCATCAACATTCGCCCAGTGGTGCCCATCAGGTTCACTTTTGCCATCCTCCCATTGCATTCAGAATGGTACAACTGGCAGGTGTCGCAGCCTTGCTGTTTGCTGCGCCGTCCATCGCAGCAGGTGCGGCACAAAGCCTCTCTGGTGGAGAGCAGTCCGCCTGCTCTAAGCTGAGATCTAAATACCCCGACAGTACCTTCTCGCCTGGAACTTCCGGCTACTTATATGAGACACAAGAGCGTACGATAATATCCTCGAAAATTCGGCCCTATCTTCACTAACAATTTACAGCATACTGGTCAGCTACGGTATACAGCAGCCCTGCGTGCGTTTTCGTTCCACAACATGCACAGCAAGTTGCCTACGCGGTCACCACAATGACCCTGACACGTTCCAAGTTTGCTATGCGAGGTGGAGGGCATATGCCGATATCTGGTTACAACGGGATTGACGGTTCCGGTGTATTGATCTCTTCTTCCAACCTGACGACCTTGGTACTTTCCACGGACAGGTCGCTCGTCTCTGTTGGACCCGGGAACAGGTGGAGAGACGTTTACGCCTATCTAAAACCATTTGGGCTCGCAGCTGTCGGCGGTCGTGTGGGCCACGTTGGTGTTCCCGGCTTGTTACTCGGTGGCGGCATCTCTTTCTACTCATCGGAGTATGGATTCGCTTCCGACAATGTTATGAAGTATGAGGTATGTCGCCAATCTTCTGTATAAAGATATACATGACTAACAATGGGTAGTGTGTGCTTTCAAGTGGCCAAATCGTTGAGGCGACGGCAACGAACAAGTACTCAGATCTCTTCTGGGCATTGAGGGGCGGCGGTAATTCGTTCTGCATCGTCACGCGATTTGATTTGCGACCGGTGGAGGGCAGCGACGTTCACGTCGGCATCGGTCAGTTTGATCAGACTCAGGCATCCGGCTACCTGGACGGCGTGTACAACTTCGGGAAATATGGAGGGTCTGACCCAAAAGCTGCCATCATTCCGACTATTCTTACCTTCCCCGCGGCGAACATGACTGTCTATGCGGCTGCAAAGTTCTACCACTCCGTCACTGACAACCCGAAAGTATTCGAGAACTTCACCGCGCCAAAGCTTACCCCAGTCGCTGATTCATACGCACTGCAGCCGTTGTCAGACTACATCTCAGCTACAGATGCCCTGCAGCCATTGGGACTGCGCCAGGAATTCCGCACACTTTCGTCCATTGTTGACCGAAAGGCCGTGCAGCTCATTCACGACACCTTCGTCTCCGGCGTCAACGCCAAGTTGCCCAGTGTTGCCAATATCCAGGCCTCGATTACCTTCCAGCCCATCACGAAGGCATTCCTCTCGCACAGCGCGAAGACTGGAGGCAACCCTCAAGGCATCAACGTCTCGAAAGCACCCTTCTTTTGGATGGTGGAGAACTTCACCTGGTCTTCAGCGAGCGATGACGCGAAAGTGCGCGCTGCTGCTGATGAGATCACAGCAAACATAAACAGCTTGCTGCGCACGGGATCGTATAGCGCGGACTATCTCTACATGAACGATGCTGGGAAGGGCCAGCCCATTTTCCAGAGCTATCCCGCTGCCAACTTAAGGAAGCTGAAGACTATTCTTACCAAGTACGACCCTCTCATGGTGTACACTAACCTCATGCCTGGTGGTTGGAAGGTCGCCGATGCATGATGAACGATCCCCATGATCTGGTTCGGCGATTGTGTACAAAACTCTGACAATACAACCCATGCATCTCCTATGAATATACGGTGTATCGTCCAACGTCTTCATTAACATGCTTCACGATAAGCTTAATCGGGGAAGGAAGGTACAACATAATCGCACCATGTCTACCCAAGAGATCGGTTCGGCCGCTGCGGAACCTAGGAAGACGGCTTCGAAAAGGGCCGAGACCAAGTTATGGCACCGGAGGTGCTACTTCAGTAGGATGTTCGTAATGCGAGCAACACAAAATCTCATGCAGGGTCAGCTTGGAAGAATTGCGCCGTAATTTTGCCGCTACCTGCATGCGCTGCTGGACTTCGCCGTTTAACCCGTATCAACTATTTGGACTTGGCTCGCCGTCGAGTGCACGCCATGTACGGACGGAATTATCGAAGACTACCAGGTAGGAAACGGCGTATCTGGGGCATCCACCGTCTCATAGATCAGGCTTCGCGATGCAAACCAGGATGGGGCCGAATGCGAATGCGAGTCTTGGTGTTGGGATAGTGACGAAGGCGAGATGTACGACGATGTTAAGACTAGATACATATCTCGCAAGCAGGCCACTCGGATCGCAGTATCATCCTTCCATCTGTGGAGATACTGAGCCAAGAACAAGATGGCGCTCAGTTACACCGATCTAATGGTAAGTCGAACAACAACGATACAGTTCACAGCTCTAACTCCTCGACAGCAATTAACATGGACCCTTTGGGGTGTATCATTCCTCTGCACAACCCTTAGAGGCTTTCTACGATGGAAGTCTCAACACCGACTCTTCGCAGACGACTATTTCGTCTTCTTCGGCTTGCTCTCCTTGACTGCCCTCTCCGCAGTCATCACATGTCTGCTACCACAGTTCTTTCTTGCGCAGGAATACTCAAAAGCGGCTATACTGGATCCGCTTACGCCGTTGCCACTACCGCCGGATGAATTCATCGAGAGAACGCGTACGTCGCTCAAGTTCATGTTCAGCCAGATGCTATTGTTTTGGACTACATTGTGGGCTGGTGAGTGGGCTTGCTAAACTGGTGAGCAGGCTATCCTACTAATATATCACTATAGCCAAGTTCTCCATTCTTTTCTTCTTCAGACGGCTGGTAATAGGACTTCCAGTATACATGCGTGCATGGTGGGCGTCCTTTGTACTGGTCTTACTCCTCTACCTCGCATGCATCGCCTCCAACTTCCTAACCTGCCAACCACTATCCAAGTACTGGAGCGCAAGTCAGTACCCCACCCCCATCCTCTCTCCACAAACCCTTCTAACTCGCACAGCCGGATGCAGCGACCCAGAAGACCTCATCCGCGCCGACGCATCCATCAAGTTCGCAACGAGCGCAGACGTCATTGCTGACGCCCTCATCATGCTCCTTCCTCTAAACCTCTTGCGCAAACTACAAGTCTCGCCCCAACAAAAGTTTGGACTAGCCGTTATATTCTCTCTCGGCACCATCATCATCGCCTTCGCGTTTGCACGCCTCGTGCAAGTCACAAAGGCTACTTCGAACCCTGATCCAACGACCCTTGCTGATGGGCCCGTGCTACTCAGCATGTGGAGTCACATCGAGTCGTCTGTATCTGTTATCGTTGCTACACTGCCGGCGTTCAGGTACTTGCTCAATGGTAAGATGGGCCGGACACGACCGGGTCCTTCGAAGCCACCGGTATATGGTTCTGCACAACCAGCTTCATCGGGAGCACAAAGCAGATCTCGTCGTGTGTATAGTATGCATAGGTGGAGTCGGAATACTACGTTGAGGTTGCCGAGCAGTGAGCAGGATAGGAAGGGAAGTAACGAGTGGGGTAGTGAGACGGAGTTGAGGCCTATGGCTGCGGTCGGAAAACAAGTTGATGTTACCGTCGAGAGAGAATTGGGGTCGACGCGGCACTCGCTTCCACAGCGTTCAGATTCATTATTGAGGCTTGGGAAGGTAGTTTAGAGATGGTGTTAGTACTCAACCGTTTTCGCGTTCCGAGTTGTGCTTATGACCACATCGACTACCCAGTCTCGTATCTCTGTACGTTGTTGTCAGACTCATCCTCAAGGCTGAGTCATCTGGAGCGCTTCTCACGCAATCATCGCAATTGCTCATATACCCATGGCTAACCATGATCCTCATTGCCTGTGTCTGATTTGAATCATGCGTCCTCCAACTCTTGTAACCTTGACAAAAAGATACCCTAGCACGATAGTGTAGGCCGAACCTACAAAATGAAGTCGGTAAACGAGAGCGTCAACCGTAGAGCTGTCATGTTTGGCCAAGACTGAAGACAGCCGTTAATGCAGTGGAGATCTAGTCATCATCGTCGTGAAGTGGTCCAAGCCACATAGGCCGCGGGCCATCATGCATCCTTTGCTGGTAACGAAGAGCGGGGTTAGGAGGTAGATCCGCACACACCGGAAGTTCGATCGCACACGTGTAAAAAAGGGCACTAAGGAACCGACAAGCATTAGGCTGAGACAAGAGGAAGATCTTTCCGACCGATGTCATGGGATGCAGGGGAAAAGATTGGCGGTGAGTAGTCACGATAGGTCATTTCAAGGCTCAGAAGTTGTGAAGTCAAAACTGTTCATTTCCCCAAACCATGTATGCTGTCCCGTCTCGCGAGGGTATAGTGATATAGATAGAACGCCGTAACTAAGTAAACCAAGGAGCCACAACCCACGCACAGCGTTCCTGCGCACTCGCCCAACACCGACCAGAAAAAGAAGAAGACGTAACGAAAGGTGAGATCAGAGCCAGCTGATGCTACAGGCGTCGTGCTATTGCGCAAGAACCTTGTCAACAGCAGCACCGGCTAGTAGCTGAACGTCTTGTATGCTGCCCTTGACGTCGATGATCTCCACATCCTTCAGTTGCTTGCACTCCGTCTCGTCGGGCTCTTCCAGCGCAGCAAACTGGCTCTCGACCATGGCGTCCTTCATGTAGTGGCCTTGTCTGGCGCGGACGCGGGCGAGGAGGGTCTCCATGTCAGAGCGGAGGTAGACGAAGTGTACGTTGGCGTTTGGGTCCTCGTCGTAGAGGCGGGCTGTGCGGATGACGTCGCGGTACTTCTTCTTGAGCGCACTGCAGGTAACAACGACGCCCTTGGCTCCGTTCTTCAGTGCAGTGATGGCCTGGTCTCGTAGGAGGATGAGCCAGTCCCAGCGGTCTTCGTCGTTGAGAGGGATGCCGGCGGCCATCTTGTCGATGTTTGCTTTTGGGTGGAACTGCAAAGACGTCAGTACGCATTAGATAGATCACAGGGAACTGGCTAACCTCGTCGCCCTCGATGTAGTCAAATCCATATCGATCCGAGAGGTGCTTTGCAACAGTGCTCTTGCCGCACCCTGCTGGACCGGTGACGATGAGGATGTGGTGGTGGGTTGAAATGGTCATTTTGGCGGTCTCGGTCTCGTTCATGACAGCCATGGACTTGGATGGCGAGCCTGTATTGGAAGCCGGTGGTGTAGGTGGTGATGCATATTGTATGGGCTTTGGCTGCGATAGATCGACGGTTTGCATCATGGTGGTACAGAGTTTGAAGTTTGAGTCAAACTGTTGTGGAAATGAGTGTTTGTAGTACGTGAGGCTCTTGTATGACGCTAATGCTTGAGTTGGGCTCCCGAAAACAAAGGGACGGGTGTCGGGTAGGGTTAATATAGTATATTGCGATATGGTCGGGACCAAATATAAGTGTATGCAGACTGTAAGCAATCAACGGCGCCCCGATTCGCGCTGGGGCGTGGTGCGTTTTAAGGCGTGGGACCTTGGAATACTGGTCTGGAAATTTCTCCCGCAAGCCATGACGGCAACGGCAAGGGTGAAATGCGATGGAGCTTGTCGTTATTCTGGGAGCCAAGCCACGATGGCACGCTCCGAAAAGCAAACAGCGAATGGCGAGCAAGGGCGTGTAGCTAGTTTCAGTAACAGGCCCAGCCGGCTGTAACAGCCGCGAAGCCGGGGCTGGAGAGAGAGAACTTCGGCGTTTGAAAGTGGACCTGTCGCGTGTGGGATGACGAGTAGCGCATCAGTCTCCCCGCATGAGGACCCCAGTCCTTCTCAGGTACTTATGCATCCCGCATGCCGGTGACCACGACATGCCAGCGCAGACTTGAGTTCTGAACGCCAGGCAACTGCAGGGCGCTCTGCTGAGTAGATTGCGATTCGACTGAGTTTCTGCCTGGAAGCAATAGACTTCAGCTCACCGCTTTGACTCGCGGTACGAAGCTGTTTGATAATGGCGCGTGGGGGTTAGGCGAGGAATCTGAAAGTGCATCGGGCCGGCGAGGATCGAGGCTGCGAACAGTCTTTGAGTTGCGATTAGTCGATTAGTCTTTGGGGCGGCATCCGGCAGATGCTCCGGATAGTCCAGACGGGTGAGAACGTTTGAGCCAGAGGTGCAGGCAGACCCGATCAGTCACGACGCCGCGATATTGCAGCTGCTCGTGTGCAGCTCACCGCCAAACGAGTGCATATTTGCTGTTTCGTATGCAGGTGCCTATCTCCGCAGGCTCGGGAGGGGCATGTGGAGGACCATCTGACCCGACGAGAGCAGCAGTCAGACATGACGTGGACCCAGTGAAGAGTAAAACAAGGATACCTGGGGGTGAATATGACGAGGTGGTGTTGGTGAGGGATCGGGGAAGGCGGGGCAGGATGCGCTCACGTGACGGGCCCAACGGGGACAAGCGTCATCAGCTGTTGCCATGGATCTGGGGCGCAGCTCTCCACACCACGGCCATCCAGTCGAGCGCCGCCGACCACCGACGCGACGAGTGCTTCTGATACCGCTTCCGAACACGCGCCAATCCACCGGCACTTCTCTGGCCCGGCATGTCGTACTTCTTCTCCACCCCGGTCGACATCGACATCGTGCTCGAGGACCTCGACGACCGCTCCGCCGTTGATGTCAAGCTCGACAAAAACCGCAAAGAGAAGGTACCGCTGTACCTGGACGGCGAATCAGTCAAGGGCCAGGTCACCGTAAGGCCCAAGGATGGCAAGCGCCTCGAGCACACGGGCATCAAGGTGCAATTCATCGGCACCATTGGTAGGCATCCGCCGTCCCGGAGCTTCACCATAGCTATATCTCGGCGCGCAGTGCTGACATAATGCGCCAGAGATGTTCTTCGACCGCGGAAACCACTACGAGTTCCTCTCCCTCGGCCAAGAGCTAGCAGCCCCCGGCGAGCTCCAGCACCCGCAGACGTTCGACTTCAACTTCAAGAACGTCGAGAAGCAATACGAATCCTACAATGGCATCAACGTCAAGCTGCGCTACTTTGTGCGCGTTACTGTATCGCGGAGAATGGCAGATGTAGTCAGAGAGAAGGACCTGTGGGTCTACTCCTACCGGATACCGCCCGAGACCAACAGCTCCATTAAGATGGACGTCGGTATCGAAGACTGCCTGCACATTGAGTTCGAGTACTCGAAATCGAAATACCACCTGAAGGACGTGATTGTGGGCAGGATATACTTCTTGTTGGTACGGTTAAAGATCAAGCACATGGAATTGTCCATCATAAGAAGAGAGACAACGGGGGCTGCTCCCAATCAGTACAACGAGAGCGAGACCCTGGTGCGCTTCGAGATCATGGACGGCTCACCGTCGCGAGGTAAGCACCATGACTCTTTTGCGACAGGCATTACTGACGACGTCAAGGTGAAACAATCCCCATCAGGTTGTTCCTCGGAGGCTTCGACCTGACACCCACCTTCCGCGAAGTCAACAAGAAATACTCCACCCGATACTACTTGAGTCTAGTCCTCATCGACGAAGGTATGACACAAGCACACCTCTACGCTACTGTGACTGACCTTTATTCAGACGCCCGTCGATACTTTAAGCAATCCGAGATCGTGCTATTCCGACAAGCACCGGAAGGCCTGACGTTGGCCCAGGAGCAGAACAAGCTGATGGCAGTGTCGTGAGAACGTAGATAGAAGTCACTGTATAGATACTTGGAAGCTGTTGAGTGTGGGGTGTGGGATCTGCCAAAGGCTGCCCATCGACCCACCATGCGAATGTTCGGACCTCGGGATCGGGCTCAATATTGTACTATCACACCGCGGCGGCGGGAGCTTACGCAGACACTGGGGCCTTCTTCAGTGCATGGATGGTGCATGTGTAAATACAGCAATGCAGTCCTCCAGGGACGGCAATGTCGCAGGGAAATCATCGGGCAAACGTAGAAATCTTGGCCGAGTCTCCACATTACGGTGCAATAGTGCGTCTTCACCTGCATGATCGTGGTGCACCATCGGCTCTGGTCCCGAACTCTCTGTCAGAGAAGTGTGGCTTGTGTGATTGTCTGGGTAGGCCATGAGTCGGCATCGCCGCTGCCGGTTGTTGCGGCCTCTCGAGCGTTGCTGTGCTTATTGGTCGAGGCTGTTCTTGAGGCTCTCGGATGATCTGCACCTAAACATTCCCTACGCGGTTCCTGCATCGATTCCTCTTACACTTTCCGAGGAGACTTTTGATGACTCTCTCGCTCACAGGACACCATAATGTCAATCTGTCGCTCCGATTATGTCGACGACAAAGGCTTCAGCTCCGCGGAACGCGCATGCGACCCACAGTAAAGATGCCGATGTTCAGCAATCTCACGATCCGCACGACGCCACACTTTGCCGCAACCCTGAGGATCGCGATGGATCCCTTCTTATCAGGGCATACCCACTAAAGCTGAGTTCCCGAAACGGTACGCACCCACTCAACATGAAAACCCGTCCAAATGATTGGAATGTGTGATTCCGCGTCACCAAGAGTCGCTCCGAAATAATGGGGACGTGGGCTTACTAGGCAAAAGCTTCCCTGCAAATGACGTTTTGCATGGAATTCTTCACTTTCCCATGGCTTAATCGCGGGACTACTTTTTCACCATGTTGTACACTTGGCACCTCCCACGCCCCTGTTTTACTCCCACGTTCAGTACATATCAGATATAAGGTTGTCAGGGTCTGCTTGCCTTGAGGCATAGGAAGAAACGAGCATACAACATGTCGCAACAACAGCCGAACAAAGCTGACAACAGTAAGTCATTCAACGAGCTCGAATTTCCTTCCGAAAAGCCAGCAGAGCTTCTTTCTCGTTGGCATCAAGAAATACATGTACTAACCTTCCACAGGGCAGCAGTCAGATTACTTTACATCCCAAAGACCTGCAGCAACGCCTGAGCCACGACAGCAACCCTCGGCAACGCGCATGCCATCGGGGTTGGCACAAAGTCGTTCCAATGCACCAAGTATAGGGAGACTTGACACTGCCCGTTTGGAGTCACGACCCGAGAATGAGCGCGCCAACACTACTGCAACTGGTATGACCCAAATGGGCACCATCAGAAACACGCCCACTGCCCGAAAGAGCCGTGCAACTCGTGAGAATGTCCGGCAAGAGCCGCCACGACGACCTGAGAAGAAGCAACAGCAGACTGTAGACGTGGAGAACGACTACTTCTCACTGAACCCTTGGTACAATGAGCAAAAGTCAAAACCAGTCTTCGGTTTGGGCGCGCCTTTGCCACGCACTGTACGTAAGGGTATGTGGTGGGGAAGAGGCGACCTGCGCAAGTCTTTGTACCGGGTCGATGAAGGGGATGCAGATGGTATTGCTCGACAAGATGGATTAGGCTTTCATGATGGCAAAGGTAAGTCTTCATATACTCCCTTGATGTGACCTCCCTCAAGAATAATCATTCTAACTAGAACGTGGACAGATTTGGAAGAAGATTCAGAAGACTCTCAGGAGACGCTAGACGGCGTTGGCCGCCCACACCAACGACGCGACCCCTCGCATTTCCAGACAACAGTCGACGGCCGCAATGTCAACATGAAACGCGTGCCAACAAGTGAAGCTGACCAGGTGCTTGGCCGCAACCAAGAACCGAACGCTCGCAGCCATGAACATCATGAAGGCCAAGAACGTGCGCCCGTTAACGAGCACGGCTTGGAGTTCTCTGATGGACGCGGGCAGCAGCAACACTTTGGTTTGCAAGACGGTCTTCCACCGCTCCAGGAACACGATACGAATATGTCTTCTCAGACTAAGCAAGAAGAGAAAGAGATCCAGCAACGGGAGCATGAGGCAGAACGCGAGTTCTACAACCAATACCGCAACCCAATCGCTAGGCTGCGAGCCAAGTACCCACAGGCACCTGCCGAGTTCCTCGCCGTATGTATCATCAACTGTTCTGATAGCAACCTTACTAATACTGTGTAGACGTTTGTGTACCTACTTATTGGACTTTGCGTCAATCTTTCAGTCGCCACATCCCAAGAAGGCACCGGCAGCTTCGAGACCCAAGCCTGGGGATGGGGCTTCGCAGTCATGATTGGCATCTACCTCGGCGGCGGTGTCAGCGGTTCACATCTCAGTCCTACAATCTCGATCTCGCTATCCGTCTACCGCGGTTTCCCCTGGAAGATGGCCATCGTCTACATCTTCATGCAGTTGCTGGCAGGACTTTGTGCCGGCGCCGTAGCTTACGCGTACGTCACATCTTCTGCTGATCAAAACGCCTCAGTTGCTAACGTCGTGATAGCCTTTACGCAGATGCTATCCATGCAGTAGACCCCGGTCTCACTCTAGAGATGACTGGCAAGGCTCTCTTCCCTCAAGGACCCATCTATTCCACCGCAACCGGCTTCTTCAACGACTTCGTCTACATGGCCATCTTCGTCTGCGTCATCTTCGCACTCGGAGACGACCAGAACTCGCCTCCAGGCCAAGGCATGACAGCCTTCGTCGTCGGTCTTACAGGTTTCGTCACCATGATCGGGCTTGGCTACAACACTGGTCTGGGTATTTCACCAGCGCGCGATCTTGGTCCAAGGCTCATCGGATTATGGGTTGGATATGATTCGGCCTTTGAAAACGGGTACTGGGCCTATGGTTCTTGGGGCGCATCTATTGCTGGTGCGCTATGTGGTGGCTTGATGTATGATCTTTGCATCTTCGTGGGTGGAGAGTCGCCTGTTAATTACAGGTGGCCGCAGCCGGGGGATATCAAGTGGAAGGCCAAGGAGAAGAAGGATAAGGCGAAGGATAGGATTCAGCAGGTGGCGTAAATCTTCGCGAGTAATGTTAATAGTTGAAAGAAAACAGTTCGATGCATTTACTCGGTGCACTTCTGGTGAAGATGTAGTTGCGTCGGTTGATGTGCGAGGAAGCTTGTGCGGCTCCGGGAATAGGACGACCGGAAACAGGGCGCTGCGCGTCATGCCCAACCACCGATCCGCAACTTCTCCATTGGATATCTCACGATCATGACCTTTACGGGGAAGGTCACATCCTATCGGAAGCTACACCGACGGATAATCGCACGCTGCGCGCAAACTTATCGCTAGCGATGAGCTTTGTGATGCTTTTAGAGTCTCATCTGTCGCATACCTTTCATCACCGTCACCACATCAACCACCATGCGATGACAGCAACAACCAAGAACACATGACAAGAGCACTCTGAAAAAACAAGAAGAATCACTGAAAGATGTCTATATCCCCACACACCTCCGACACGACCCCGTCGTCAAAGCCAGAAATGCTACACCAAGAGCACAAACAAGCAGACCGCAAAATCGGTTTACGTTCACGCCTTAAACACTTCACATTCGCCTGGTTCCTCTCAACAATGAGCACAGGCGGTCTCGCCCTCGCCATAGCAGAAACACCGCATCAATTCCCCGGTACCCATCCCTCTTCCATCCCGTCGCGCTTGCCAATACTAACAAACCCACCCCCAGGCCTCCACCAAATCGGCCTAACCCTCTTCCTCCTAAACATCCTCCTCTTCTTCGCTCTCTCAACCCTAACAAGCCTCCGCTTCCTCCACCACCGCACCCACTTCCTTACTTCCTTCCTTTACCCCCAAGAATCCTTCTTCCTCGGCTCCTTCTACCTCTCCCTCAGCGTCATCCTCGCCGGCATCCAAACCTACGGCATCACGCACGGCCCCGCTTACCCCTGGCTCATCGACGCCGTCTACGCACTCTACTGGATCTACGCCGCAGCCTCCCTCGCAAACTCCGTGTTCCAGTATTGGATAGTGATCCAGTGGGGAAAAGTCCGTCCTGTGCCGCCGCTGCCGAGTCTTTTCCTAGCGGGGTATTCGGCCATGTTGACGGGGACGGTGGCGAGTCTTGTGGCGGGGAGCCAGACGGATGGGAGGGCGGTGAAGGTGGTTGTGAGTGGGGTTGCGTGGCAGGGGTTTGGGTGGTGTATCAGTCTCATTGCCATAGTCGGTTTTGTACGCAACTTGTTAGACAACGGGTTTCCGCCAAATCAGTTACGGCCTGCGTTGTTTATACCGGTGGGGAGTGGCGCGTACACGATTGTTGCGTTGATTGGGCTGGCGAATGCGGTGCCGAACAACATGTCAGAGGGCTACTTTGCGAAGCATCCTGCTGCGCCGGAGATACTTCGTGTTTTGGCGCTTTTCACGGGGATTTTCTTGTATGTGTTTAGTTTCTGGTTGTTTGCGATTGCGCTGCTGGGGAATGTGGGGGTGGTGGGTAGGATGCCGTTTAGTCTGACGTGGTGGGCTTTCATCTTTCCCAATGTGGGGTTTACGCTTAGTACGGGTGTGTTGGGGAGGGAGTTGGAGAGTGAGGGTATACTTTGGGTGGCGAGTGTGATGACGGTTTTGTTGGTGGTGATTTGGTTGGTGACGGTTGTGGGATGCGTGAGGGCTGTGTGGAAGAAGCAGATTGTTTGGCCAGGGAGGGATGAAGATAGGGATCGTTGAGTAGTTTGGTCAACACACGGTCGTGAGTGTATATCTTCATGGAAGTGGATTGGCAGAACGTACAACTGCGCACGGGGAAGATGAGCAGCTCGGTATTCTTTGCATCATGATTCTATTCCTGTACTCCAGATTGGTAGTTGCCGCATACACGCCATCAAAACCTAAGAGTTAGGCCGCTTCTAGAGAGATGTATACTTCTAGCTGGAAAAAGTTTTCGATTGGATTCGTGGGATGTGACCCAAATGCTAGATAGCCTGGCCAACCCATTGCTCCCACGCCTCCACCCCAGCATCCACATCCAAAATACCCACATGATCATGCGTCCTCTTCAACACAGCCCTACTCACCATCACCCCCGTCGTCGCCGTTCTCCCCAAAAGATCCTCCTGCCGACTCTTGACAAAGCAAAACTGCGGCAGATAATGCTGCGAATTGATCTCACGCCCATTGCCCAGCTCGACAGCATTGCTCTTCCTTAAGAGTGGCCCTAAGTGCCCCACAATTAGTGTTTCGAGCTTGGAACCCGGGTTTGTCGTGTAGAGTTCGCCGAAGATGAGGTTTGCGAACTTTTGCACTTGTAGCGAGATCATGGATGTGTTCCAGCGGTTGCCGTATCCGTTGCCGAGGCCGCCGACTAGGGAGATGCGGGAGCGGTGGACATGGAGGGTACGGAGTTTGGGGAGGCGGCGGAGGGAGTCCTGTGGGGGGTGAGTATACCTCATGATAAGTTAATGGTTTGGTAAGTCTTACTACGAAGTCTCTCAGGTTATGGTACCACAGCCCATCTGCCATTATAAATTCCTCGTCGATCCCGGCGGCGAATTGTTCTAGGTTGGGACATAATCGGCAAATAAGATCGAACTCTCCAGCGTCGATTATCTCGGTTTTGGAGTATAGACTCAGACTCGTGAGCTCCTTGCCTCTACTTTGTAGGTACTGTCTCAATCCTGGTGGTAAAGCTTCGAGATCGTAATGACCAAAGTGCAGACTGCGCAGGTTTGGACATGCTTTCAAGAAGTTGACCAAATGTATGTTGCGCTCGTCTTCAGTTTTGATGATGCCAATTCGAGGCACAAATTCGTTCAAGGCAAGGTGCGTGAGGTCGAACTGCTGGTTTGGCATTGCATTTGTAATGTCCGCCAGTAATCCGAAGGCTCCGGCGCATTCTACTAGATCGAGCTTTTGCAGCTTGCTGAAATCGATGATTGTCGATAGGGAGTTGTGCATGTGCATCAATGTCAAGCCAGTCAATCTGAGTTCTTTTAGTGGGAGTTTGGGCTGATATGGTGGCCATTCGTGGTTCCGGAGCAGCTTGGAAACGTCAGTGTTAATGTTGGCGCTCAAAGACAGGGATTGCAGGTTGCTTCCGACGGCTTCAACATAGTCAAGTAACAGGTTGTTGAGTGACGACCCATCGACGATATACATGTCCAGTCGTTTCAAATCCGTTTCGCGTTGGTACAGTTCTGGTAGTATGTTTATAGAGTTGTCGAAGAGATACATACTAAGACTGACTTGGAGGTCTGTGATGTTTCTCTGGTTCGATGCGAGCTTCTTATGCAGCCACCACGGTAGTGATCGCCGGCCGAGGAAACTGTAGATGTTAGCAGGCAACACAAGACGAGATGAGTAGCTTCAGCCCTACCGGAATGTGCGCAGGGCATTCGCCGGGATGAGATCCAAGACCTGCTCAAGATTGCTGTCGCGTACTTCAGGATCTGCTTTCGTGGCGCCAGAACCCGTCCAACATTCAAGGCCAGGTAGTCCAACGTTGCCGTACTGCACAGACGTGGTTTCCTCGGCGATGCACTCATCTTCTACGACGAGTTCTCTGGTATACTGGAGGTTCTCCTTTACGTCCTTTAGTAGTTCAAGGATGTAATTAGTGTTGTTTTCGCTGAAGAGGCGAATGTCGATGCGCTCGTAAAGCTTTTCGAGGGCGAGTTGGTTGAGCTCTTTTGACACCAAACATAGTGATTTCAGATCACTTCGGGTATTTATCTGGTTTCGTCAGTACCTCACTGCTGGGGGTAAGGCGGGTAACATGCGAAGTTGAGCACTCGTCTCTGGCAGTCGGTGTTAAGTTGCAACATTGTCTTTTGCAGCTCAAAGAATCGCGATAGCTAGAACCAAAGGTAAGTTGGTCGGAGGCCCCTTTCAATACACTTGGTGCACAAGAGGGGTTGTCGCCATAACCCTTGCAGTATGCATCTAGACGCCGCGGAGCCAGAAGGATTGCATCCACCCTTGCTAGACCTGCAGCCAATGCTATCGTGTCAGCGCTCGATTGACTCTCGAATAAAGAACATACATTAGCGCTATGTATGCATCCTCCGGCAATGCGCGTCGTTGCGGCATGTGGGAAGCTACCGTGAAGGAACGACGAGTCGCATCGGCTACTGAAGCCGATCAAGGTCAACGTTTGGTCCTTGCCCCAATGAGGAAGTTCCTTGTGACTTATTTAGGTTAAGCCTGCTTCGCAACATTTCACGCGAAATGCTCTGGGAACTGCATATTGGACTCGAATTTATTGTACCAGAACCGAACAAATCGAGCCAACCGAACGATGGACATCTGATGGGAACTGCATAACATGATCGCAGATACAATGCCTTCGCTGCACTAGGGATGGCTAGAATGCGCTTTGTATTCGCTACATATATTCCATCAAATGTTTATGCACAGACAGCACCTAAGACGCTGTATGCTTCGGGCTAAAAGATCTTTTTGATGACGTTCTCCCTCGACCCAAATCCTCACATCGTTCGAGTTGCCCACGCCTCCCATTCATCGGCGGCAGTACGGTAGTCGACTTCCAGAATATCTGTGTACGGTTGCGTTTCACGCAACATCATCCTCGTAACAGGAACCGCAACGGGGACGGTACGACCTAGGATATCTCTTTGCTCGCCTCGGAGAAAGCATTGCTGCGGAAGTGGACGCACGAGGTCTAGGTTTTCTGGGTTCCGCAAAGTCGCAACATGACCGATCACCAGAGCATCCAACTTCGATTCTGGACCTAGAAACTCAAAGACTCGGTTTGCGAAGGTTTGCAGCTGTAGGATCAATAGTGCGGGGTCCCACCCGTGTTTGCTCTGCCCCATGCGAACGCAGTGTGGCACGCGGAGGTGGAGCAAGCGTACTTCTCGGAAATACCCTATCCAAGTCTGATAGATGTTAGATATCATGCTCAAGATCCGCCACCACCTCATACAAGGAAGGAACTTAATGGGTCTGCAGCCTAAAGCACGATGCAAACGTGCAAATTAAGCGAACTAACGTCTACGCAGACTCCAGCGTGTTTTGTGGTCTCCTTGAACGAGGTGCCGCTCTGAATGCGATAGCTTCCACTTACCATAAAGATCATAAATCTGGCCTCTTCATTCCATAGGCCGTCAAGCATCAATGCTTCCTCGAAGTACACCGCAAGCTGTTTTACTTGTCGAAAGGATTCCTGGCTTACCCGGTACAGCACATCTATAACGTCGTGGTTTAATTGGCCCCAGTTCCATTGTTCGACGTGGTAGCTCAGACTTTGCAAATTGTGCCCGCGATCAGTGAACGGCTTTAGGAAGTCGTACACATCAAAGTCGGATGAGTGGTCGCCGTGCGGGTAGTGTATATGGAAGCTCTCAAGGGGTTCGCAGGCCTTGTATATCTGATTCAAGGATAATCGCAGAGGAACGAGCTCAGTGGATTCCGCGATGTCACCCGCAATTTCCACAGCAATATGCTTCAATCGAAGCTTGTTCTCCTCGCTACTTTCGGCAAGCTCCTGGAGAAAGTAATGGCTTCCGCCGGAGTTTCCGAAAAGCCCTAATCGCACAAGCTGATGATAGTTGACAATTATAGAGAACTGTTCGTAAGCGTTGTCATAGATAAAATTGGACAGCGTGAACTCTTCGAGCTTGGGTGTGCATTGGGTGTATTCGTTCTCCTCGCCCATTGCCCAGGCATCCAGTTCCGTACTGATATCCATGGAATTGGCTGCTGTCAGCGACAACGATTTCAAGTTGGCGCCCACGGCTTCGATGTTCATGTACAACAGAATGAGGCTTGTTGAATTATCGACATAAAGATCGAGGCGTTGCAGACCACAGAGTATCTGGGGTAGTACGTCGGGCGATCCGGGATCGGTGTATAAGCCTATTCGTAGGTCTTGTATTTTCGTCTGGTAGTGGCGCAGATGATTTCTAACCACTGCCGAGAGAGGCCGCCGCGAATGGTACCTGATCTCATCAGCATCCACATCGAATGCTAGCGCGTTCACTTATTAACTTACCATAAGCGTTCTAATTGGTTATGATGCATGGTTTGCAGAAACGCGTAGGCGGCGTTGTCTTTCTCAGACTCAGTTAGGTAAGTAGCATTACTCCGACGATCCAGAATAGGTGGACAGATCCGTCCGGTATGTATCGTGTAGAGTTCTTCGCCAATCGCTTCGTCTTCGATGATAACCTCCTTCGTGTGCTGGTAATGTAAGCCAGCACCTGCGAAATTGGACTTGTTGAGACGATCGACCGCACGCTGACTCCATAGGCGCAGAACGATGCGCCTATATAGAAGCGGATTCGCGAGAACACGCAGAGCTGAGCATGTCCTACACAGTGATGCGAGATCGCTCTTCAGAGTTATCTGACCCAATCAGTACGTGTTTTGAAGCCAGCATGCGCACTACAGTAGCGTACGTGATCAACAATCCTTAGTTGAAGTTCTGTCGGAATGCCCAAGAGGTTGGGTGGATATGTGGGTGGCTGTCCCGAGATGTCCATCGGGTCTGTAGACATGTTGAAGCGTAGAGGTTACACAAGGTAAGAGCAGTCTGGGTGTTGTGTGGAAGCGCGTCGAGTTCATGGAGGGTGTGCGACGCGACACCGGTAGCGGGGCATGGCTGACATCAGTATTGCCGAAGTTTTACCGAAGGCAGTGGCACGGTAATGACCCTTTCTTCTGGGCTTTGCGCTTGAACTTAAAGCCTTATCGCAAGCGACTTTGGGCATATACATTAGTGAATTGGTAAGTCGATGACGGTGGTTGTAATGAACTCTTGCGCGAGTTCGAGAAATCCGTCCCCTCGGGGATGCATCTTCTGCGTTTCGGCGCTTCGACGTACAAATGTTCCACCTCCTAGAGCAAAGGTTGCCTGCATACTCAAATTTCAAGGCCAGAACGAGCTGGGACCTGCGGAGTAGTTATAGTGCTTGAGGGGGAATACTTATCGCGTTCGTTATACACCTCATACCCGATAGCTAATCGACTTGCGGATAGTGAAAGCCGTGGATTGTGTCTGCAACGTTGCTTCCTAGATAGATGGGCATTGTCTGGTACCCCGGAATAGATCAAAGAATACCCAGGTAGATACCTTCCCAGGCTGTGTTTGCGCTCGTGTCGCTATGTTTCGATTGCGACGATTTCAAGTGGTACTTTGAGCAAGAATGGATGCCTGGTATCTTCCTGCACATATACTAAAGTTCGGGTTTAAATAAATTTCTCTACGACGTGAACCCGCTCGACTTTCAAGACACCTAAAAGAGGGCTTTTGATTGTTTGAGACTTCTTTTTAGATTTAAGATACACCAGTAACGCTGTTACTACAGAATCGTGAAGCCACCAAATTGTCGCAAAGTCTAAAAAAGTAACTCCGTATTGCAGCCTTCCCTATAGCACCCCACACGAGAAGCTCTAATAGCCATTTCCATTCCACGTCCCTACCCCACTACCCACCTGCCCTTTCACTCCTACCCCCGTGCGAAAAAAGTGCAAAAAAGAAACATACAACATCTAGCTGCTCTCGGTTTCGATCCGAGGTCCTCCGGGTTATGAGCCCGGCGCGCTTCCGCTGCGCCAAGCAGCTTTTGTGGTTGTTGATTGATGAAGTTTCCTTGCTTTACAGGTTTATATCGTGACATGAGGGACGCGTCGAAAGGCTGAGCTTGTCGACTGTGTGTGAAATCAATGAATGTGGGGGCACAAAGGATAGGCTGATTGGACTGAGTGGGTTGGTAAGGGGGGCGATGTGGAAAATTTGATAGGCGTGGTTTGGTTGGAACATCAATCTTGAAGGGAAGTTGAACAAGAAGCCAATCTCCCAAGACCAACAGGCCAAACTTCATTACTCCAGCTAAAACAACCTTGGTATCCTAACGCAAACGCCCAATATCTATATCACACAACAATCACCCATCATCCCCATCTCATACGCCTCAAACCCCCTTCGCCTCACACAAATGCCCACTCTTGCTCAACACGGTCCCCAACCCCCTATGCACCTCCACCTGAAACCCCTCAAAAGGAACCCTCTCCCCATCAATACTAATATACCCCTCCTTTTGCCCTTTCGGAATAATCCTATACGCACTAACCTTCTGGTAATCCACATGGTCCATATCAAAGAAAGAGTGGTTCTCCACGGCCAGCAACGTCTTCACAGCCGTGTGCCGCGCGATATCGCCGCGGATACGGACGAGGTCGAGACACCCGTCGGAGGGGAGAGAGGCAGGGAAGAAATTTGCGTCGGGGGACATGTAGGCGATGTTTCCGGCGTAGAAGTTGCCGAGGTGGTCGTGGGGGATTAGTTGCCAGCCTACAGGGAGGGGGTCGGTCGCTGTGCCGTATTTCAGGTCTGGAAGACCGGTGTCGGGGGCGGGGAGGACGCGGTCGTCGGTGCTGCGAGGTGGTTTTGCGCATTCGGTGCGGTAGGCTTCGCGGACGGCGGTTTTGTTGTCGTATTCGACTTTTACGGCGATGTCGGCGGGGTAGCATGTCTTTTTGAAGAGGCGGACGAGGAAGCCCCAGGTGAAGCGTGCGCTGCCCATCCAGCGCAGGTGTTCTGTCGCGAGGTCTGTTTCGGCTACTATGCCGACGGATTGGGAGAGGAAGGAGAGGGTGCGGCGGTCGCCTTGGGTTATCGACGAGAGATCGAGGGGCGTGCGCAGGCCCTTGACGACGGCGAGGGCGGCGAGACTGGGGTCGTCGGTGCCGTTGAAGTTGAGGCTCATGGCGTTGCCGGAGCCGCAGGGGAGCTGTGCGACGGCTACTTTTTGGAGCGCCCGAGCTGCGTCGGTCCTCTTGCCCAGCCCGTTCCAGACTTCGTGTGGTATGCCGTCTCCTGAGCAGCAGGCGACTACGTCGTAGGCCTCGATGTCCATGTTCTGCGCAATCTCCACGCCGTGGCCGTTGTGCTGTGTCTTCTCCACGTCGAGCTCACAGCGCGCAGCCGCCAGGATGGGTGCAATGAACTTGTGGTATGTCTTGACTGCGCCGCCCTGGCCGCCAAACGGATTGACGAGTACCTTGATTCGTTTGCGCCGTTGCGACGCTCCGTATGCGCGATCGAGCAGCTTCTCTATCCATGCCTCCGTTATGCGACTGTCGGGTTTGTCGAGGGAGTAGCTAATGATGGCAGGGCGAACGGCCTTCTTCGATGTGTTCTGCGCATACTGGACGGTGATATGTCCATCCTCTGAGTGCTCGGCCCAGAGGATGTTGTAAAAGGGTATGGAACGAGTGGATTTGTTCTCTGCGTCGCGTAAGCGGGTGTTGGTGTCTAGACGCCGAATTAGCACTTACTGCCAGCAAGAGACAGACCGCAGCAGCTGGCGCTTTTGCTATCTAGGAGTGCTTCGTCTGTGCTGTGTGAGTGTTGCGCCGCTGTGATGTTCGAGTAGTCTCCCCACCTAGTACGACCAGGGAGTCGGTCCCAAGGGTCAGGGAGGCGTTTCTGCCCACAGCGAGTGTGTCGGGAACATTCATCTGCTCCTGGGTGGGTGCCGAGTCGGGCGACGGCTGCGAAGGAGCGGCGTTGGTAGTGAGCAGCGGGTCTCTGAAGGGATCGTCGGAGCCAGCCAGCGAAGCCATGATGGATTAATGAAATGTCGCAGGAACGACGCGCAGCATGCTGTGAAGAGGGAAAGAGTCAGTTGGAGACTAGACCAGCGCAAGAGGCACGCTGACGACGGCCATGTCACGCTCACGGGTACCGTCCCTGTCGCAAGGGCGCGGATCCTGGCGGATAGTTGGTGCTAAACAAAAAGGAAACATTCCCGTGTTGCCCGTTGGACCCTGCACGCTCGCGAACCGAGGCATCCCAATCACGAACCAACCCAGAACGTGACACGAAGCGATTCTTCCTGTAGTGCTCAGAGACTGCGATATTGGATGTGAATTTGAACTCTTGTCTGTTTGATACGGCAATGCTACATTAACATTCATCCATCCCACCCACATGTCTAGCGACCCAACGCGTCGTACGCGAAGACCTGTAGACGAAAGAAGCAACCAACCTTCCTTTTGCTACCGTTTCTTAGTAGGAACGCCCATCTCCCGCTACCCCGGACGTGTGACAGTGCTTATTAGCCGACAAATCATGCCACACCGACCTTGTTCAGACCCTTCAACGACCCCAGGCTCAACGCCAAGCCTTGGGAGCGACTTCTTATGCGCACAAACCCAGTAATAGGGCCATTGTCACCTTCCTTTTCGATACTCAAGTTGGCGAGAGCGTCCTCACCTGCGTTCTGTCAGTATTGCCAATGTATAAAAGAATTCGAGGACTTGCCAAATACACTCCTGGCGTACAGGTTCGCTGACAAGAATTGGCAGTCGCCCTTCATTGACGCCTCTGGGGTCAAGCAGCTCATGTTTGTGCATGCCATAAGTTGCTTCAAGAAATCGCGCAACGTCTTGGCCTTGGAGTTAATGTTGACCTTATTCTCCCATTCGAATTCGGTCCACATTGTCCGGAACTGCGTCTCTGTGCATTGCGCGGGCTTGATGTAGTCCATAATGTCGACGTGGACATCGTTGAGAATGACAACGTTGGAGTCAACACCCTTTTCACTGTAGGATATTAGCAATTGTTGCAGAGTGTTGATGCGCAGGACTTACCCCTCGTAGATGATATTTCCAAAGATGACGCCGGTATCGGTGGATGAGACTGTAAAAGTAAGTATGCGAACCGAAAAGCGCAAACGGGGAAGGCCTACCCTTGATCGTTGCTTGGATGTTGATAAAGTCGTGAGGACCAACGTTTTGTGTTGAGGGACGCTCGACGACCTTGAGGTCACCAAGAGTCGCGAATTCGATGGTGAGATTTTGTAACGTCTCAGTTGTTTGGTTCACAAGCAGGACATCAAGGACGATATCGAATTGATGGACCTAGCAGTGTTAGTAGATACCTTCAGTAAGTCGGGCTGACGTACCTTGACATATGCTTCTGCGTATACCGAGTCGGAGAAACCAGTAAGCTGCACGACTCGACTGAGCTTAGATGTGAGATCCTCAGTCGCAGTGTCGCCTCCGGTTGCCCTTTCGAGATCTTGCTCAATCTCGTCGCTACCGTCCGCATCCTTCTTCTTTAGTTGGCGGATGTTGAAAGAGTCATCAACATTGACAGCCGACTTCGCGCGCTCGGAAGCCTCCTTGGCGGCACGCTTCTTCTCCTCTGTCTGAACCATAGTGCGGAAGGACTTTCGGGTGTCTTCCAGGAACACTGTCTCGAGCTCCTTTCTTTGCGAGAACTCGGACAGTGAGCGAACACATGACATGATACGGTCGATGGAGTCCTCGTCGATGAAAGTCTTGACAAAATGCGATTGGCCAACACGGATGATCGAGATCATGATGAGCATGGCCTCGGCGCGGAGAGCATTTGTGCGGGCTTCATTCTTTGAGATCTCCCCATAGCGCATAACGAGCTTAGTGAGAGTGCTGGACAGTACTGTGGCAAGGTAGTAGTCGCCGTCAAGGAGTAGCTGTCGTAGTGGAGGTTTCTGTGAGTTCTTGACTG